GGGGGGGGGGGGGGGGGGGGGGGGCGAAGGGATAGATGGGATGGGGTGCGCGTGTTGAATTGGATGAAACTCGTCGGTGTACTCTGCCCCAATACTCGTGAATCGATTTCAGTACGCCTGTCTATTCGTGCGTTTGTGGTCACAGAACCTTTCGTGATGACGGTTGGAAGTGCGCATGCTTTTTGGCCTCTGTAATCCTCTCATCCACCCCTCCTCCATTTCCTCGTGTCGTACTTGAGGATCTGACCGATAACAAAGACCATACCTATGAACGCTGCCTTTCATTCCTCGACAGATATTTATCTGCTTGGCGGATACGCGACGTTCTTCACCCCGCTCTTTTAAATAAACGACTGCGGGCGTCAACGCAGTGGATAGCAGAATATTTTCAATGCAGGCCAGAGAGTTTACCCCTACCCGCTGACCCCCCCCTGCCGTTGCGCTTGTACGGAATACACTTTCACTGCTCTGAGTAAGTAGGCGTTACCAAAGGATGAGACCGTGTTTTTCGAGCGCACGCCGCTGACGGAGATCGGCCATTCAGACCTCTTGACGTTCGTGGAGACCAGAAACTCGGGCATGATCGACGGCATGGTCCGGTCGGGCATTATCGTCAGGGTGAGCTACATGCAAGGCATGGAAAAAAATCGAGTCAAATCGTGGAGAGCGAGCGTTTGTGTTGATGTTGTCGTCAGTTAATGCCAAGCGATCGGATACGGCGCAGTATACAAACGTGCTCTGCTAGATCTTAGACCCGAATGTTCGGCGCTTGCCTAATAAAACCGAGTGCTTCCTCGGCGCGCGACCAAAAAGAAGAGCGGCAACTTATCCACAAGGCCCCGGCGCTATTTTCTTTCAAAGTACGTGTCGTTTGCTCCCGGGCGCCCGAAAAACATCACGCTGCCGCACGCTGCCATAGCCTCGCGGCCGCCGCTCACTCTACCGCCGTCGCTGCCGCCGCCGTTCGATCGCGCAGAATCGCATCCCCAATCACGATTGGGACTCGAGGAGTGATTCCGAGGTATGTTAAGTTCTGATATAGTATCGATCTCGAGGTATGTTAGCGCCCACGCGCGTTGATAAAAGAATCGATCCCGAACTCGGGCAGGGTTCCCAAGCTGCGGCATTTTCGCTACCACCGCGTTGTGCACGAGATTGGAGTAGCCGCATCAACGTTCTTCTTGGCGTAGTCCAGCCAGCAGCGCGTGGCAGACGTTGCTCCAGAGGTCGATAAACTAACCGGTGTGCGTTCCAGCGCTCGTCATCAAAGCACAGCTTTCGTTTCAGCTTGTGCTCTCCCGAGAGCACGTGATGACATCGGCTACGGCAGGAAAGTGCCTCCGCCTATTGGACCCCAAGTTTTTTTCTCCAAAGGCTGGCATTCTCTGCTCTTGCCTCTGCACTGTCAGACCAGCCGTTTAACAACGAGCTAGGTTAGGGCCAGGGCTAGGGTTAGGGTTTGGTGCAGTGCAACTCCCTTGACCCGGGACACGACGAAAGTGCCGTGCTCAGCATTTGGGTTGGAGTAGGAGGACGCTGCCAACCGTTTGGTGTGCCTCGTGACACATCCGCACATGTTTGATGCCCGATGCCCTCCTTTTTTTTCCGTGTTTTTGTTTTTGACGCAGGAGGACGGAGATGAGCCTCGCCTCACGTACGTCGTCGATACTCCTGCCCAGCTAGTGGTTTATGACGACCTCAGAGTAGTTCAGCACGGCAACGCCCAACAAGAGGAGAAAGACGGCGTGGTCACGCCCCTCCGTTGCAGGTCAAGGTACGAACGAAAGGCCGGTGTCTCCCCCCTTCCCCCTCTGATGCTGATTTGCCACTTATCCCAGGGGAAGTCGTCCGCGATCGTTGGGCTTTGTAGGGCAAGGCGTCAGGAACAAGGCGGGTGTGCCAAGTAGATGATGTTGTACGAAGGCGACGACGGTGGCGGATGTAGACAAGGGAAGATGAAGCGGGAAGCCGACGCTCTTTCCGTTTTTCGACGGTACTTGCGTGTGCGTGTTTGGGCTTCGAAGGCGTAGTGTGTGTTCTCCTCGACGACATACAAGCACGTATTCTCGGAAGGTACGGTGAGGTAAGAACGCCCATTATAACTAACACCGCACCCAAGCGTGGGATAGATACATCTGATATTTCAAAGTACCCTTCTGCATGGCCTGGAAATCAAGCTCACGAGAAATTATGCACATTGTTTTGAACAGAAGCGACGACCAAGGTACCACACGGCTCGTAGCTAACCCCCCCCCTCCGCCGGCCCGACCTTGCTGCTTCTCTCGTTTTCTTGGGATTTTCTGCCTGCGCGATGCAACATCCCACGACGAGGTGCAGGTGTAGCGCCATCGTGCCGGAAGAGCAGTGCGTCCTGGAGGGCTTCTGCTAGATCTTTTATATTGTGGCTCTTCCATGGATATAGGCAAACTTGAGCAACAACACAACAGTTTTCCTTGTGAAGTTTTATTTTGTGTATTCGAAGAAGGGGGACATGATCGTTTGGCTTGCCTTCGTCGAAGTTTTATTTGGTGTATTTGAAGAAGGGGACATGTTCTCTTGGCGTGCCTTCATCTACTCCGTTGTCGTACGTCAAGGTACCGGCGGACCAGAAGATACACCTCTCCGTCCTACTAGAGAGAACTTCATGTGCGCGTGTGTGTCTTTTTCAATATTTCTCGGGTCGCGCTCTTAAGAACTCTGGCAAGTTGGTATCGGAGTAAGAAATAGTGGCATGACGTCGTGCTTACGAATACCTTCACTCCATGCGTCGGTGTCCTGTATTTGGGTTTTGTAGCGGGGAAGGGGGTATGGGGTAGGGAGGGGAAGAGGAGGAGACTACTTTTGTTGTGGCGCACTCCGTTACAGCGCAAGAGCCATTTTTATTCTGAGGCTCTGCCTCAACGTTGTGTTAGCGTCGTTCCCTATGGAGCAACGGCCAAGAGAGGCGGCGGCGGGCAGGTCATGCGAACTGGGTAGGTAGTAGGTTTAGGCCCAAGAAACGCAAGTTGCGTAAAGTGCTGCGGCGTGAAATAGTGTTGGACTTCGGGATTTTTTTGCCTTGTTTCATGCTTCGACTACTCCTTTGTCTGAGTCGATGCCTTCGTTACGTAGGCGTCGGATGACCTGACAAAGCTACATTCTTAGTCGTGGCCCCGAGCGTGTTTGTCGTTGTGTTCGGTGGTGTTGACGAGTGAATACGGTTTAGACGTACATGTGTTCGTATCTTGCAATTCCAGTCAAACGAAGGGATGTGTGGAAAGCACATCGCTACGGGTGCGAGTGTCCTGTGCCATGCCCGCGAGTGTCCTATTCGTGTGCTGACACAGTTGAGCTATTTTTCCGTAGAGCCTTGTCTCCGTTGTACTGCTGTAGTCGGGTTAGCGTTGAGAGCAGCCCACCTACCACCCACCCAATCCACCCCCAATTTGGTGAGTCGGAAATAGACCGCCTCCGCTCTTCGTCATCTGTTGTGGTTTGCATGGTTCGAGAGCCTCCTGTAAGTTTTGTTCATAGATCTCAACATTCCTCCCTTGTGGATCGAAGATGGCCATAGCGAATCAAGTATTGACGTCCTTCTGTGTGAGTGTACAGTGGTACATACATGTATTTTCCTACACTGAATATCAGAGTTGGACACGCGGTAGACTTTCTCGTAGCGAGCCCCATTGTAAAAGGGCCATGGGGTGTGCACCCCTTTCCCCTGGTGGTGTGTGTGTGAGTGCGCTATGTAGGGATTTTATCGCAATGGGGCGGCGGAACGTGTCTAGTACGGCAATGCATACTGAAACCTCGATAGCTGGCGTTCATCAGTTGACTCGAAAGAGGTCATCGTATCGCTTAGTTGGACGTACCGGGCGGGAGGCGAAAGGAAGTAGTTAGTGGGCGATGGCTACTATAATGGTCTATGCACATGTGCTCGATCAGTCGAAGCAGAGGCCAGAAACAAGTCCAAGGGGGGGGAGAGGGGGGGGGCAACACAGGCCGAAATACGAGGGAAACGGCGAACCTGGTTGTTTACAGTGGAGCAGCCTCAAGAGTAGTACATCTGATGCACAACCACAACGTCGACATTGACGGCAGGTAGAGGAATCGGCAGCTTCAAGTCAGCCGCGCGATGGCGCCTCCCTCCGCCCCCCACCCTTCAATGCACATGCCGACTACTACTACTGCGCTTGTTGTTGAGCTCGTGTTTCCCCGTTGACGGTGGCTAGGACCGATTTCGTCGAAGGTTAACCGGGAGAAGTCGGCGAGAACGGTGCCAGAGGGGATACTTGCACCATATGCCTAGCGCTTATTTTCCGTTGTGTTCAGCTTCATGTATTTTGAAGCATTGTTTTATTTCAATGCTGGGGTCTTGACAAAAAAATGATTGCCAGGTTGTATTTCGTAATTATTTGTGCGTTTGCCGACGCCATGCTTTCACTCCACCGGAAATCGATGGATTCAATCAAACAAACCATGGGGCGATGGAGCGATTTCATTAATTCGCTGCCAGGTCCATCAAAGCTATGGCGAGTACGCAAAATCGATTACACGGCGGATGTTTTCAATTGTGTTGATGACGTTGGCACGAACAGACCAAAACGCATCAAATAAATATTTTCCCGAAAGTATGCGTACGCGAGTGTACTTGTTGTCCATGTGGCGATCGCGTTTCAACGCCCCTCTCGGAAACGATCAGAGAGAAGCTGGCGTTCTAGCACGCATTTCGAGGAAAAATGTGTACATGGTCTTGTTTCGAGCGCTGTTTCTTTGCCTTCCCTGGGGAGGATCCAATTACAATAGGCGTTGGGCCTCTCTTGAAATTGTCCGGCAGGGAGACGTTTCGAACACCGCGTGAAAAAGAAGTCCTTGACTCTTACACCCCAGGAAAATGATACTATCGTCGTTTATAGCCCTTTCTCTGACCTCTTTCCGTTACATCTTCTTCTCCACTCTTCAACACCAAGGAACGCTTTTACCGTGGTCATAGAAGGTTGAACTCGAGAAGAAGACCCCTGTGCCACGGAGGAGGTGCGAAAAATGGGGCCATGGTGCACGGACGTACCAGAACAACACCTCGTGCGCCGCCAACCTCGAAATATATTCAAAACTCTTGCATAGCCTACGCAGCTGTCGATGGCAAGACGACAACATCGCCGTAACGTTGGACGGTTCTTGCGTTTTCAGGTCACCAAATGCTTGTGTACGGCGCCGTGGTACGAAAGAAGAATCCCCTCTTCGAAAAAATCAACGGAGATGATCGTGGTACTACGCGATTGGCTGACTTCCGTTCCTTTGCGGGGCGAACAGGATTGTGGTGGATTCTTCGGGTTGTGGTTTTCCCTGACTTCGACTATACTGCTGTACTTCCGTACGTAGCCGTGTCTTCATGCATACCACCCTGTCTCTGCTGGACCAATGTCTCAACGCCATCGATGTGGACGCAATAGCCACAATACCACCGAGCACCAAGGAGCGAGGTACCTTGCAGTCTTCCTCTCCGACAACACAAAATAGAAAACACGTTGTTGGTAATAAGGCTCGCATTGCCCTCGTAATACCAAACGCAAAGATTTCAACACGCGCGTCCTTCCTGCAATGCCTACGTGCGCATTGCTCTCCTTCCTTGCATTGATCCCCTCATTATTGAACTCAAATCATTGTGCGGGTCCTCTCCGAAAGGGTCTTCCTGCCGGACGTAATTCGCGTGGGTGGGTAACCTGGCCATCGCCAACCTTGCAGAATCGACATATGTACAAATCAAAAGCCGAAACTCTGGTGACATCGGTAACCCTGTAGGCAACGGAAGACGTCCAGCTCGATCCATGTCAAGAGAACAAGTGTCGTTGCCAATGTGACGTAGGTGGCTCATCCGGCAACCTCTCCAAAACTCCTGACGGAGCACTGACAAAAACAAATTGTTGATGATGCTACCGATCGGGAAAGGAACAACACCAAATTCGATTGTTGCGCTTGACGTATTTCTCCATGTACACGATGCAAGCAAGATGGGGCCCAACACAATTGCACTTGCACACCAGCAGATATTCTCATTACTCCCATTTGTGACCACCGATTGGCTTCAACCGATGCAAAGTAAGGTGCCATTCCAAGTACTATTCTCACCCCCGTCAACGCCATCAACCAATCCCAACGCAAATTAAATGGGGAACACGGGCACGCTTTGCTCAGGCAATGGCATCATGGGTTTGGGGGCTCTGGTATTCGTCTCGTGTGCTTCTCCCATATTGCAGTAACGCCGGCAACACAAGTGGCCGCCAAACCGAACAAACCAGAGCCACAAAGAGCGGCTGCCCAAAGAGCGACAAACTCGATGTCGAAAAAAAGAAAAATAATGGAAAGAGCAAATAGCCATGTTCCAGGATAGACAAGCATGTCCGAGTACGAAATATAACCGTTCGTGCGCGCGACACCTGATCCCACGAGGACAGAAACCACAGAGACGGCAACAAACGGGCCCCGCACAACAAGCACGGTACTGTACTCGCTGGACATCAGCAAGAAGCCGAGCATGAAAGATACAAAGGTAATAACTGCACTCCCGACCACGTAGCCGTATCCGTTTCGTTCAACCGCAACCCCAAAACCAACTGCCGTCAAGGCAGATACGACAGCAAGACCTAGAAATGCGCCCCACAGAATAGAGATATTGATCGAAGCAATTTCTAGCATGATTAGAAGATACGCTAAAAAGAACGCGAGAGCGACGGCAGATCCCTTCGCGTAACCTCGCGAGTTTCGCTCTGCCACGACTAATTAGCCGCCAACTCGAAGGTCCCAGAAAGACCAAGAAACGCCCCCCACGCAGCAGGGATACTGCTAAAATAGTGAATGATGAGCCCAACGGAATCATGGATACGAACCCAACCACACCTAAGATAACGGCGGGTGGCGGGGGCCATTGATACCACGGGTTGCCCTGTACAGAACAGGTTTCGATCGTCACGGCGGAGGAGAAGTGACTGGGCGCATCCAAATCTTAAGGTGGGGTTCACTATTGGCCTTTGAGACCGAAGCAAGAAAAGAGAGTTGTTACTTATGAGAGGTCGCGGGAAGTTTCCGTAGCCAACATCTGGGACAGCACGAAGCCGGAAAACAGCGGTTTCTGCTGCCAATGTCTGTGACAAAGTCTCGTGTTTCACACATGATGATGGCTTGTTGCAATTTGCCTGATGAGAACAATTGGCGTATATGTGGGTAAAAAATGGAACGGCCCAACTTTGTTGATCCATGAAATACGCACCTATCCATTAACTCGTCATGGTGTTGCTTCATATGCGACCGATGGCAATAACGACAAGACTTGCGCACCTCGCTTTCCGAAACCAAAGCCGCAACCGGAGTTGGGATGCCATCGCCGCCACTGCTAACCGAAACCTAATTTGAGAGAGGGGGTGCGTTTGGTTCAACAATGAGCCACGACCGCCGATATCGATCGTGAGTAAATTGTGTATGTCTGTACGTATGTATTTCTCTAATTGTCATCGCTGTAGCCATCTCATCAACAGAACCGCCAGTGTTAAGTACGGGACATTTTTATCGGGATAAGGAAAGTACTGAACGGAAGCATGTCTAACCTGAGTCCTTGAATATTCATTCTGCCCGAATTTGGAGATACGCGAGAAAAACACAATGATTTTGTCATTGCAGTCGTGAAAATAATTATCGAAACCCGGGGATGGATGCCTATTGCGACACGTGGATGGATGAAACACGCAACGAACAACGGCAATATGTACACGCTTGGGCTACCCTAAATACTCTGTACGAACACGTCACAGGCAAACAATGGAACGTGGTTTGGTTCCCTTTATGTAAATCACCTGTTCGCTTTTGGTCTCTGCCCCCATACCGCAAGGGTCAAAATCGTTCCAACTTTCCCGAGGACCTCTCAAACTGTCGGAACTTTCGTTCTCCTGGGCGCGTCTTGTGGGTTCTGATGGCCGGAGATGTCCTTCTTCCTCATCACGGCCCTGTAGAGGACACGTGGTCGCCGTGTTGGGCTCCTCGGCGCCCCCTAATCCAGGAAACACGGGGGAAGAAACGGGCGAAGGTGGTATTCTCCTGTGCGTGAGACTCTTCCCCCTGCGCTTTGATCTGATCGAGAGTCAGAACCCCGGGAGAAAAGGAAGCATTCTCTGCGATATGCCGTCGGGGGAGTGCGACAAACATTCGCGATTCTCCTGTGCATACATCGTGGCACCCTTAATCCAGTCTGTGGACAAGGTACTCCCACAAGCACGCGTGTGCGTTAGGACGATTCTCAAACCCTAGAAAATGGGCGTGAGGTCTTCTTGCACGATGATTGGGGCGGTTCACGGATGGTTTGGATGCACTATTCGAGACCGCGTCGACCGCACACCAGGTTGGCCTAGCTCACCCGACGTTCCCACCTGGTGGATCGCAGCTCTTGGGAGAACCGCCGTGACCGGCGGACCGACGACCTTCTTCCCTTCCTGTCCTTTACCTTCTTCTTCAGAGAGGGGTCACCAACTGCCCCCCCCCCCCCCCCCCCCCCCCCCCCCCCCCCCCCCCCCCCCCCCCCCCCCCCCCCCCNTAAATTGGGTGGTAGGGGAACGTCTGGGTGTTTACTAGGCACATCACCCGGCACAAGACTGGGGTACTCGTGCCTGTAGGAGTGAAGTTGGATATGGACTACGAGCCCATGTTGGAGGCACTATTTAGCGTCGATGTGCCGGCAAAAAAACTGAAAGGAACCACATCCCCCACCCGACACTTGGATTGGGAAGGCCGAGTATCCCGTATACCTTCCTGAAAACCCACGAAAAACAAGTGCCCACGGTCCAGTTGCCGTAGAGATCATGAGGATGGTGAAGAAGCCGAGAGGTTGGATGCAGAAGCTGTTTGGGGTCCCAAGGGACATGACGAGGATAGAGTTCAAGAACTGTTGTGACAGGAAAGGACTACATTGCCCAGCAAGGGGACAAGTAGGCAGAGACCATGGACATTTCCGCGTGAAATCGACGAGGCAGCAAAGAGTGCAGGGGTGTTGACATCGAGAAGCTGTCGAACTACGTAGGGTGTTTGGATGGAGGGCGTGCATCGCGAACATGATAGAAACAGAGAAGGTAAGGCGACAAGAGGCGAGGGCGATCGAGGCGAAGAAGGGACCGAGCGGAGGAGGCGAGCAGGCAAGTCAGAGGAACGCGGAAAAGAAAAGGAGCTCGAACGACAGAGTGCGCAAAATCTCCGGGAAAGGCACAAGCTGAGAGTGGGTTCGTGGAACGTGCGCGGGTTTGCGAGGAGTGAGCGCAAGCGGTTGGAAATAGTGGACCAAGTAGAACAAAGCGATCTAGATGTAGTGGGGATCCAAGGGACGTAGGAATTGAAGGATGGGGACGTGGTAAGCAAACTAGGGAAATACCGGTGGGTAGGGAAGGCACGAAAGGGCTTAGACCCGAAGAAAAGGGGGGAGGAGGGAGTCGGATTCCTGATCAAGCAACACTTGTTTGACGTGGTGGAAGCAGTGGTGAAAACGGAGTTCGAGGAAAGCCTGTGGCTTAAGATACCTGGGGAGCGGGGTGAAAAATAGTTGCTTCTAGGGGACATATACGCATCACCGTCGTCGAAGAAAGTCGCAAGCAAGGCGCAGGAGAACTGTGGACGAATTGGGGAAGATGCTAGAGGTTCAGTAGGAAGGGAGAAGTTGTCATGGTGGGCGATTTCAACTCCAGAGTAGGGAAAGCTTCCAGTAGAGGACAGGCGATCGGGCAGCACGGAGAAGACAAAGTGAATGACAACGGAGTGAGGATGCTTGAATTCTTGGGAAGCAACGAACTGATGGTGTTGAACGGTAGGAGGGAATGCGATAAGCCGGAGTTCACAAGGCAACGGGCAGTTTGCAATGAATACTCAATCCTCGNGTTTGAATTCTTGGAAAGCAATGAGCTTATGGTGTTGAACAGTACAAGGGAATGCGATAAGCTGGAGTTCACCAGGCAACGGGCAATTTGCAATGAATACTCGATCCTCGACTACATCCTGGTAGACAGGGGGAGCACGCAGATCCCAGAGCTGCACATAAGTGCGANAATTTGCAATGAATACTCGATCCTCGACTACATCCTGGTAGACAGGGGGAGCACACAGATCCCAGAGTTGCACGTATGTTCGATAGATATAGGTTCGACCGACCACTTGTTCATACGAGCAAACGTCGACCGAGCTAGGAAGGCGGAGAGTGAGAAACAGAGGAATGTGTTCCGGTGAAAAGTAAAGCGTTTGGGAGACGAGGGGACTCGGGACGATTTCCAGAAGGGACTGGCTGGTAGTGTAGAACACTTCCAAGAATTTACTGAGCAGCGTTGAAGTCGGACAGGTGGACTTGCAAGCACCAGGGGACAGGGTAATTGAAGGGTGGGAGTCTATAGTGAACAAAACGGCATGAGAGAAGTGGGAAATAAGGTAGTACGATGTGGGGTATCGGTCAAGTGGTGGGATGACGAGCTGAAAGAAGAAATAGGAGAACGTGTAGGAGTCTTCGAGCATCACCTGAGTGAGGGGTCTGAGGAGAGTTGGGAAAAGTACAGGGCCAAGAAAAAACAGGTGAAGGGGCTAGTGAAAAAGAAGAAATGGCACATTTGGGACCAAGTAGTGCAGAAGATCAACGAAGGCCTGGAGGGGAACGTCAAGCAGCTGTGGCAAGGAACTAGTGGAACGGTAAAAAAGACCGCGCAAGGGGGGAATACAGGGGTAGCAACTTTGCGAGGTATGAACGGTGGATTAGTCAGCAGTGGGAAGGGAAAAAGGGAAGTTCTAGCAGGACACTACAAGAGACTTGGAGTGCCTTGGGAGAATGAAGCTTTCGACCAAGTGTTTCAGAAGGAGGTGGACGAATGGGACAAGGAAGAAGAAGAAACATCGCAGGCAGACGTTGGGAACGTAGAGCTAGAGAAGGAGTTCACTGAGGACGAGGTGGAGACTTGTGTGAACAAGCTGCAGTGCCACAAAGTAGCAGGGGCGGATGGGGTAGTCACCGAGCTCATGAAGTTTGGTGGGAAAGGGATGATCCAGCTGATTGTACTGCTGTGCAACTGGGTGTGGAAAAACGAACATGCGCCAAGTAGATGAAGGGGTGGTTGCGAACTCGTTTAATAGAGGAGACAAGACTGACCCAGGAAAGTACAGGGGGATCACACTGTTGAGCACAGTAGGGAAAGTGTTCTGTAAGCTCCTGAACGATGTGATAGTGGGAGTATTGGAGAAGGAACATATGATAAGTGGGGGCCAGGCAGGTTTCCGAATGAAGAGGGGGTGCGTAGACCACGCATTCACGTTAGGGAGAATCATCAGAGATTGAAAGAGGGAGGGGAAGCCGACGTACTGCTTCTTCCTGGACGTGCAACGATACAGTACGGAGAAATGGGCTGTGGAAACAATTGTCCAAGTCCAAGTACGGGATCAAGGGGAAAATGTGGAGAGTAATGAAGTAGATGACAGAGTGTACGAAATGCGCGGTTATGCTAGACGAAGAACTGTCTAAATTCTTCAACATTGAACAGGGGGTCCCACAAGGTTGCACTTTGTCCCCAATATGGTTCCAGGTGTTCATCAACGATCTGTTGAAGTCGTAGAAGCGGTCGAGAAGGGAGTAGAGGTAGGGGAGAGCGCGGTGTCGAGAATGCTGTTTGTCGATGATGTCTGACACCCCTGAGGGACTGCAGACGCAAATTGATGCGGCCAAGGAGTTTGCTGATAAGTGGAGATTGTCTGCCAACGTTAAGAAGAGTGCCGTCATGGTATACAAGGAGAACAAGGAGGAACCAGTAGAACATAGATGGAAGTGGGGCATCGAGGAGATTGCACTAGTGGACCAGTACACATACCTCGGAGTAGAGATCGCAAAAGACTGCTCGTGGAATGCACAAATGTCCNCAGCCGTCATGGCAGAACTGGCGATCCAATCCCTCCGATCGGGACGAGACGCGAGGAAGCTGACATGGCAGTATCGCGTGTGCGGTATGGGAGAGGATAGGTTGCCGAGAATAGCCTGGGAGGTGAAGTGGGAAGACGGGGAAAACAAGAAGAGTGGTAAACAACCCACGGAATGGGTCAAGGTTGTAGGTAACGTATGGTGGAACGGGTTCGAATTTGACGAAGATGATACGCTGGATACGTAGGGTCTAAAAGGGTTTAAGGATATCCGTTCCTCTTGCCGAGAGAGAACAGAATCCAAGAAAAGAAACCAAGGATAAGGAGGGCATAGAAGTGTACGGAATGTTGAAAGAAGCAATATGTTTCAAGGAGTACCTACTACATGGACCAACGGATGCAGGAACAAAGCTGAAGGTCAAATTCAGGACCGGGGACATAGGCCTTCGAGAACGTCGACGAAGACATAGGACGGTAGACGAGGAAGACGACGAGTTCAAATGTGATTGCGGCTTCGAATGCGAAGACCGTGTTCATGTAGTCGCGGAATGTCCGTTGTACAAGAAGGAGAGGGAAGTGTACATGACTGAGCTGGGAAAAATAGACGAAAAGTACAGGGAGATGTTTGAGGCATGGGATAGCCAGGAGAAGACGTTAGCTGTACTGGGGCATAGGAGGTGGGTGGAAAAGGCGGGAAGTGATATCGGTAGAAGTGATATCGGTAGGATAGATAGACTCGGGAAGACATTTTTGAGCCACCTTTGGCAAAGTAGGAAGGAACGATTGGCCATCGGTGATCGGTCCTGTAGGAACAATGCTCCTTCACCTCGAGGACGCGTGGTCAATGGTCTAACCCCTAAGGCATGAAAAGCACAAGAGTACGCCCCCCCCCCCCCCCCCCCCCCCCCCCCCCCCCCCCCNCAAGAGTACGCCCCCCCCGCTCCCCCCCCCCGCGCATCTTACCTGACCTAGAAGCGAGCCATAGAAAATTTTCGCCTCCGCCAAGACTTCGCCGATTTTCGGTCGATCCTTCCGTTCTAGCAAGCCGCACGTGCGGATGAGTGTGTGTAGGCGCATTTTGGCCGGGTCGCTCTCGTCCCCCTCCCCTTCAATCGGAAGTTTTTCGAGCGGATTCTTCCGACGAACGTCACCAATCGCATCGCCAGTGACCCCTGTCGATTTTCGACTATCTGAAGGCGCGCAAGGCATCAAAGTTGATATCAAAGTCGGGTGTACGTGTCACCCATGTCGAAGCCTATATAACGTTCTTTGCACCATAATACCCGGATGGCAGCCTTTCTGGTGGGTTGAGTATTGCGAAAATCGATCCTCCGCAGTGGTCTACCGACGGCCCTCCTCTCTGTGCCGTATGATAGGGCGAGGAATAGTGTCAGTCACTGTCTGCCACGCTACACGACGGAAATTCCAGCAGGTCCCCACTCTAGGATGTCTGTGACCTCACCTCCCACAGCACCACGTGCAAGCTGAACACATCCGAGCCGAAAGAGCTCTCTCCCCAGCTGAGCACTTCAGGGGCCATCCAGAATTTCGTGCCGGCCTAAAAAGGGGACACCGAGGAGTATGCATTTGTTGGGTGTACTTCAACAACGGGGCGCCCACAGGTACCCACCGAGCACTACACGTGCACACTCTTTCTCGCTATATTTTGATACAGGCTCGACATGGGCGCAACCTGAAAGAGGGTTCCCTGCAAATTCACGTTCCAGAATTTGGGTCAATTGCACGACCCCCCCCCCAATAAGAAAAAGCGCGAGAGTTTGGGTCGGTTTCACAAGGGCCCCCAATCAAACGTGCCTTATGCTGGTAGTATCACGACGCAGGACGTGAAGCAAACGAGGTTGATTACACTACCCCACGACCAAGAGTATTCCAAAATCATGCGATTTATCTTCTCGGAAAGCTCTGCCTTCATTTCTTCGGAACAAGATGAATCAAATCAATTCGTGAGGCCGGTGCGAGAAACGCTTCACAGCCGAGTGGCGGAGTGCGGCAACACCGGCGACAAAGAGCGGAAGGTGTCGAATCAACCCACCACAGGGAAATGTTACCTCGAATCTTGGGACCATTCCTGTGAGAGTCGCACACGCGATGGCATCGACCAAGGAAAAACCAGTACGCTACGAACATGAAAATCTTTGATATATTGGTTTCGAGGGACCGAGGCCAAAACCTTCGTGGGATTACCAAATTGTGGCACCTTCTTATCGAGGAACTGGTCGTTCCCAGTCTTCCGCCCGATAGTTGAGCAGACGTGAGCCAGTCCGAAGTCGGACACCTTCGCCCCGCCGTTGCGGAGCAGAATCTTGTGGCTTTTGACATCACGGTGCAGCACACCACCTTGATGGAGGTACTTCAACCCCTGTACTTCAACCCCTGTCCAAAGAATCCAGGTAAAAGTGATAGGTTACTGAAGGGGTGCACATGTGTGGCGCAGTGTCTCATACGTAGCCCTGCCGTAGTTCCCGAAAATATTAATATTGTGTGCTCGTTGGGTGACGACGGAAAATATATGCTTGTTGTACGTACCGCTGTGCTTACGATGTTGAGTATTTGTCTAGTTTCACAGAAAAACGTGCGGATACTGCAGAAAGGCTTGTGCTACGGGGTCTGCGTCATGCTGACGAGCTCTCCCTCCCCCGTCCATGCCGAGGTTTTGCGGTCAATGCGACTCATACAACGGTGCGAAGGTGTACCGATTCAGGTAAAAGTCAATCGACGGATGCCCTGCGAATCGGGTCCTCCTTAACACTCTCCACCCACAGAATTTACCCTCAACTGGGAACCTCTTGTGGCCAGGATGGGTAATTCGATGGAAGTGTCACAAGGTGCTTTGTAGGATCGACTCCAAGAGGTGTTCACAGGACTGACACACATTGCGTCCTTGGGAAAATATCCAAGTCAGGAGAAATAGTGTGCACCCAAGGAGATTCGAACCAGTATTCCGCTGACGCCATATGCAAAGGTGTACCGATTCAGGTAAAAGCCAATCGACAAATACCCTGCGAATCGGGTCCTCCTTAACAACGGCGAGTGGTCATGAATCGTCTTGAATTGCACGTACGTACGGAAAAGAGTATGCGAGCCATGAGAAAGTCAAGTACCTTAGGCGCACATGCACCTCACAGATGTCGATGATGTATGGGAGGGACCCAGACAAGTCGAGCGGAGTCGGGTTTATCCCACGGAAGTGGAAAAGTGTGCGGTCCATGCGTTCCATGACTGAACAGGGAGGGCGGGAGCCACCTCCGGTCCGAAACGCGATGATTTGGACAATCCGATCATGGCGGAGGGCGAATTGGGTGGCCGCTTCCGGTCTGTGGCCGCGCACAAAAAACACACGCACATGAAACGAGAACACTTTCACCGAGATGGCAATACACACATGACGCCTTCAGGCAAGCACTGGGAAGAATGGTCCATGTAGACTACATTATTACGCAGCAAGTTTGCGGCTAAATGGTATCTACAGCAGCAGAGTGACTGTTGATGCTTACATGTCGTGCGCGCATTGCACATTGCGTGCACCTTTTCCACGATTCTGGATTCCTCTCACCTAAAGTTATCCCTGTCTTCAGCGCTAAATACGCTGCTCAACGCGCTCTTGATGGCAACGGGCTTTCCGTAGTATTTCCCAGCCATCACCACGCCGAAAGACCCGGTTCGTCAAGCTCTTCAAGTTCCTCATCGACGACTATGCCCTTCACCAGGCGTTTCATCAGTTTCAGCGATGGGTCAGTCCCATTGTCCAGGGTGATCTGAATAGCAAGCAAGACCTCCTCCATGCGATTAGCCCGCTGCTTGGCCGCCACCCGCCCGCGCCCGCTGAAGTCTATCGCGATGCTGTCGAGCTTGTCCGAGTACTCCTTCAGGGTCTCAATGTTTTGCGCCGAAAAATAAACTCGCTTCGCAGTATGCGCCGCGTTTCGGAGTGTTGACGACGTTTCGTCGTGTCGCTGCTCGTCCTGGGGGAGGCACGGCTACAGCAAGTCATCGATGCGCTCAAAAAGCGTCTTGACCTCAAGGAGGCTTTTGCGGAGGAAAGCGTTGTTCTCGAACGCACCAGCTCAAGCGTTGAGTGTACTCTGCCTCGCACCGAACGTAAGGAGGCGGGAAGACTATTTATCTGTCTATATTTTTTCGTGGTTTTCGACTGTACGGCAGGCGAGACGAGAAGGAAATAGAGCGGGAACACCCGCGTGGTGGTCCAGGACCGAAGGCGGGCGAGAGAGAGCGCGTGGAGAGAGATGCAGTCTATGCATATGCATACAGATGGCGCCCGCACTGAAGAACCTCCAGTTTCGGCCGAGGCTGGGGTTCTCATATTGCCGACCATCCTCTTGTGGGCTACAATTCGCCACTATAAAGGTTTTAGTGTAGGGGTTCTTTACTGGGCTCACAAATAGTGCTCAAGTTCTCAGCTTCTGAGTTTTTTTCGAGTCTCAATTTCTCAACTGCCAAGTTCTGAGTGAGGGCGCTATCTGTGTGTAGAAAATGATGTGAAAATATATTGACACACATACATGTGGGATGTCAACGATGCGAAAAGCGCGCGTCCGGATACCTCAGAAATCATGCTACAATCGAGCCGATGATCTGTATTGCACCTCTGGGGCTAGACTATGTGGATTGGATGTATGTTGTGTGCTACCTGTTGGGAGAATTGTGTGCAAGAACTGACTCTATTCTACTGCAGGGTTTGGTGCAGTATGGTGAAGGCGTGTATCTAAGTCTGTAACCGTCAGGTGAAGACAGCTTGGACGCCGATGTGTGAAACAATTATCACTCTGTGTTTCTCTACCCGAGCCTCTTGCGTCACATACGCCAACCACAATGTACAACAGCAGTGAGGTCCCGCAAGTACGCCCAACAGGTCATTCATGCGCCTCGCGCGGTAGGGGAACTACGTTGAGTCAACATGGCGCAATCATTGAACCATCTCCAGAGGGGTTATGTGCCGTTCAGCGGGGATCCGGCCCAATTCGAGGGCTGGTTCACGCTGACTCGGTCCCTCATGTCCGAAGCTGGACTGAGTAGGGTCATGTCGGGAGCGGAGATTGCTCCTGCGCCTTTGCCAGCGGGAGCGACCGACACTCAAATCGCGGGACACGAGAAAATTGCCCTAAAGTTCAAGAGAAAGAACGGAAAAGTGTACACGAGACTGCTTCTGGCCACGTCTGATGGCCCGGATGGATACTCCAGCCCTGCTTCGGAAGTGGTACAGCAGCATGGGCCACTCGGTGACGAGGAGTATGGTGATGGACGAGGTGCGTTCGTTGCTCTCCAGNAGAAAGAACGGAAAAGTGTACACGAGACTGCTTCTGGCCACGTCTGATGGCCCGGATGGATACTCCAGCCCTGCTTCGGAAGTGGTACAGCAGCATGGGCCACTCGGTGACGAGGAGTATGGTGATGGACGAGGTGCGTTCGTTGCTCTCCAGCGGAAGTACCGTGTTGAGGGTGTATTTCGCATGCAACAGCTCCATGAGGAGCTTACTTCCGTGATGGGCACTGCAGCCGACAAATACGACCCGGCCCGAGCGATTCAACAGTTGCGTCGCATCTGCCTCGAACTTGACAAGTTAGGAGATACAGTTGTGGAAACACGGAAAGCAGGTGCCCTACTACGAGCCCTCCCTAATGGACAGTATGGCTCGTTCAAGAATGTCCTGATGAGCGACAAGACAATCCTCGGAAGCGATGGTCTCGTATTCGAGGAGATAGCGCGCCGTGCAACTTCGCATCATGCCATGCAAATTCGCGGAGAAATGTCCAACCATGGTGACGGTTCAGGCAGCCACGGCCGTGCGTTGAACACTGTCGCGCACGAAGGAGCACGTGGTCTCCGCAGGCGTGGCGGCCGTGGCGGCCGTGGTGGACGCAGCCGCCGAGGATATGGCGGCCCAATTGCAGACGGTTCGACAAGTGGAAGTGGGTCGAACGGCAACAACAACAACGGAACCTCCGGAGGAGACAGCGCGGGAAATGCGCATGGCGGACGCGGGAATGATCGCAGGAGCCGAAACTCTGGAGGTCGTGGTCGGGCTCAGGATACCGGCCGCAACCGTCAAGGACGTTGCAGATACTGCCGTAACAGCACCGAGCACGGGTGGGACGAATGCCCGCTCCGCCGGAGGCACGAGGCGGAGGACAACACAGGACAGGTGCACAACACGCAAGACTCCACCACGCAGGCTTGGNTGGTCGGGCTCACGATACCGGCCGCAACCGTCAAGGACGTTGCAGATACTGCCGTAACAGCACCGAGCACGGGTGGGACGAATGCCCGCTCCGCCGGAGGCACGAGGCGGAGGACAACAACA